GTTTTTTTTTATAAAGATCAGGCAAGAAGTTAAACTTCTAAAACCCTTCATGATGTTTATGTTGGTAATAGAGATACGCTATACTGTGTAAATGAAATCGGTTTGATATTGTTTTTAGACACTCTTGACTCTTTAAGTGTCATAAAAAGAATCAAGTAAGCAAAAATAAAACAAACAAACGAACCACTTAACTACACCGTACCTGAAAATTAAAATTTGATAGGAGTAGACTCATGCGCGATCATCCACACGATCGAAGTAGGGTAAACTAAGCTCTGCTCTGTAAGCCTATTTTATCGACTGATGATTAGTAATAACTGACACTTCGCTTCACTACAAGGCTAATAACCATTTCAGCCAATTAAATATATTCATCAGAAGACCGCCTTTTTCTTATTTTCGAGGTGCATACCATCGACGATGTCCTAACAAAGAGGTAATTGCTGTTGTGATAAATTCCATGCCTCAGAATAGATTTCATTTTTTTCAACAGATAAAGCAAGCTCTCATAAAAGGGAAAAAAGCGCATCAAGTCAACAGAGGTAAGTTATTTTATTTCTGCAAAGCTCAGAAAAAAAGAAATTACTTTTTGGAAGCCGGGGTAAGCCTTTCTAGTCCAAAGGACGAAATGTTTCCCTCTATTTGTCATACATTTCTTCACTTTCGCTTTTTCCTTTTTCTGCTTCTTTGTAACACAAATTTTATTTCTTTCATTGCAGGTACAATAAAACGGCCAAACAGGAATGAATATGAAGCGGGAGTGTCTCCATGAATACTTGAAAAATTAAGGAGATAAAACATTAAAAGCCAAAGATAACGGATCTCTTAACACTTTAAACCCTAAGATCAAAATATGAATTCTCTTTTGTCGCCCTTATTCATTTCCTACAGAAGTTGTGGAGAAGCTGATAAAATATCTAGCAAATTCATTTTGGGTGATCGTGTCCGTAATTCTCACGACCGCTCTGTTTAACAAAGCATCGATATTTCAAAGAGAAATTTGATGCTGATCACTCTTAGGGCTTAAAGGGTTAACTGAAGTCGTTACCATTTTTGTTAAACTCAGTTAATATACAGAGGTCGTCGAGTTTCGCCTTTATATTTAGACAATAGAATTGCCTATCCAAGTTTTTCGTTTCCAGAGTTAAGACTAAATAAAACATAAACTGTTAAATCAATGGAATTTTGTCTTTTCTGGCCCTAATATCTATCAGAATAGAGCTT